TGTTAATTAAGCGTTTGCTTTCAGTTGCTTTCTTCCATTCGCGTTTTCGCTTTCGTTTAGTGTATTCAGCAGTTACTTCGCGACTGCGGAAGATATTTATTTCTTTTGATATTAACGTGTTCTGCAAGAACGAAATGACCTCTCAGAAGCGCAAGAGCTACCGAGCTTACCTGGAGCCTGATGCTGCTTGCGGCAAGGTACCACGGCAGACCCGTTTCAACGAACGAGTGCGGAAGTCGCAAACTTCGACGACGACCACCCCGACGGTAAGTAATTGTTTAATACGAGCAAATTTATTTAAAAAAAAAATTATACATATTGGGCACAACAATATTAATAGCATCACGTCCCGGGATTCGAACCCGAGACCTCAAGTTCTGCAACAGAACGCCCTATCCCTTGAACTAATGCTTTCTTCTTTTTTTTTTCTTTTTGCAACAAAACAAGTGTACTTACTTATTGCAGTTACACGTAACATGAGTGGACATTTTTATATGTTTAGTAATTCTATTATAAGGACAGAGAGACAAAAAAAAAAGTCAGTCCCGGTGTACAGATCACAAGATAACACAAACAGAACAGAAAGTGCGACGCATTCAGCACCTAATGTTGACAGCGGCGCTCACGGAGATTATGGTTTTCATTAATAAATGTAGAGGTACTTAGGCTAGGGCCCGTATGCCGTATGCATCAGCGTCTGCCATCCAGCGACCATACACGGGGGACCCCCTATACTCCGTTCCACCTTCAGTCCGAGCGCAGTGGACGCCACGAGCTGTTCCAGCCGATCCAGCGCCGGGAGGAAATCGCGTGACCTGCCGGTTGGGCAGAGCGACACAGGGAGCTCAAGGTCACATGACACTCTCTCCACGCTGGATTGGCTGGGATGGCTCCTAGCGTCCGCTGCGCTCGGACTGAAGGTGAAACGGAGTATAGCAATGACGCTCACGCCGGATTGGCTGCTCGGCAACGCGCGGGAACTTCAAACTTCTCCATTTGGAGAGGGAAAGCAGAAAATAGAGCAACATAACAGTTGCCTGAAACTTAAATTGCGGATTCGGACGGCGCGCGTATCACTGGGAAACGTGAGAATGGCATTCTTTTTTTCCTTTCTCTGCTTTAGCTGATGGCCCACAAAAACAACACTGAACTACAATAGGCTCAATTTCATGTCTTGCCATTTATAACTCTTGACTGAGTTAAGATTTTTTCCATATTTCTATAAAATATGAAGGTTGCATCATCACAGTTTGGCATACGCTGAGCTCGACAAATACCAACTCACTGCATAAAATTATTTTTATTTTAGAAAGCACTGAAGTTGATATTTCAGGCGACAAAAATCTCTCATTTAGAGGAGACTCAAACCTAGCTGCTACTAATGGAGAAAACAACCTGCTTAAAACATGCAATGGTACATTTATCTTTTTCATGTCGGATGCAGACACTTTTTATGTGCTCATTTGGTTAAACCTAGCTTGTAATTAAGGATACGGATACAAAAATATAATCAAAATGTGCCAATAAAGCAAAATACACAAAACCAAAATGTGTCCAGCAGACAGCTTGGATGCAGTGGCGCTGTCTTTAGTGCTCATGTACACACACTTCGCTCATCTAGAAAGAGCTCCTGTGCATGCGCAGTTGATACAGATCCTGTGGTCAAACCCACACGTTTATGAACAATGAGTTGGTGAAGGCATCCGCCTACAAAACATAGCAGTTTTTATGTTTCTCTTCTGTTTGGCACGTTATGTTTCGGCTTTAGGTGGTATAGCAAATGCACACCCCAAAGATGCTTTTTGTTGAAGTTACACTTCCCTATATCGATCATCTATATTTGTTACACAATTTATAAAAAAAAATGCATAATGAAGCTACAACAAATAATGAAGAGCAGGATTTTCATTAATACTTTCTCACTTTATTAATTTACCCATTGCTAACAAGAGTGTTAAAGTGCTCAATCATAAAGCATTTTTTTTTCAACATATTTTGAATGCTTTTTGCTTCCTTTCCATTGCAGATTCAGTCTGATGGGCCAGGAAGTGGCCCTTCTACTGCAGTAGACGACCATGATGCCTCTTCAGATGATGAAATGGAAACAATCATGGGCGAAGCATCCTCATCAGCTGATGAGTCCTCATCGAGTGATAACTGCTTATCGGGTGACGAATCCTCATCGGGTGATGAAGTGCCATCGTCACCTAATCAAGAAGAAGCCTGTGCAGATCCGGATGGAGATGTGCACGAGTTTCTAAAGAAGTATGCGGAAGAAAAACTTCCCCATCAAGAAACCCTGAAGGTTCAAGCGATACTGCTCATCCTGACTTACGTCGTCTCCGCAGGATTGTCCTGGGTTCAGGTGGATGGGCTTTTGAAGCTTGTTAACACCCTTTTTGGAGAAGTGATTCTGCCAGGCTCAAAATATGCGTTCAGGAAGCTCTGGGAAATCAGAAGGAAGAATATGGTAACGCTGAACTTTTTTTGTGAAGTATGCCACTTTTACCTGGGTTCGTCAAGCTCTGCAAATATGTCTCTCACATGTGGCGAGTGTGGGAAGACGTACTCTTCACAGGTCCTAATCAAGAATGGTTGTTTTTTTCTCACATTTGATATCAAGAAGAAGCTGGAGCATATGCTGAAGGACGTGGGACAGGCGCTTGGAGACAACTTGTCGAGATTAGCAGCGTCAGCACAGTCAGTCTTATTCGGACATCACTGATGGCAGCCTGTACAAGGCCATGCGTGACAAGCTCAACATGGCACTTTATGACATCACAATATCATTCAACAGCGATGGTTCACCCGTCTTCAAGTCCAGTAAAGCGTCCGTGTGGCCCATCCAAATGACCATCAACGAACTGCCGGTCTTCTTGCGATGGAGGCACATTATAGTGAGTGCAATCTGGTTCGCGAAAGAACACCCCCCAATGCACCTCTTTCTGAGGCGTTTCACGAGTGAACTTAACAAGGTTGGAACTTTGGTGTGGGAATATGGAGGTCAAACAGTGAGGTCACGTGTGTTTGCACTCTGCTGCTCTGTCGACTCTCCTGCAAGAGCAGCTGTCCTCAACAGGAAACAGTTCAATGGATACTATGGCTGCTCTTGGTGTTTCCAGAAGGGGACCCTTGTCGAAGGTATGTTGCATGAGAGTAGATCAATGCATGTAGCAGTTATGTTGTAATTTGAGAGGCTACAATAGCAGCGAAGAGTGTGACTATCTGTTGCCCTCAAGAAATGTTTGGACGTTTCAAATAGTACTAATAATCAAGGAAAAGGATGTTAAAGGCCCTTATAATTCAAACTCATCGAAGGTACAGGATATGAAATTAGTAACTATTCTTTCAAGCAAAACTGAATGTAAGTTGTTACACTGCAAGTGATTTTTTATGACATATTAAGAAGACACACTTATTTAATTGTCTTCAAAGTAAACAGAGTCATAAACCAAACTTGGTCATACTGACTGTTCACCATCTAGTAGGGTGCACAAAAGATGCCATGACATGATGTGATGCGTGGCATTACAAACAGAACTTTGAAGGGAGATTCTTGTGCTTGCTGTACCTGCACATTTCTACATTCTTTGTCCTTAATTGCCACACAATTCTGGCATTGTAGTACAACAATAATAATAATAAGTGATTATATTGTGCATGTCCCCGTTCCAGATGATTCCACATGACAGCACGTAACGTTCCGAACGTTTCGGCTCATGAAACACAGCCAGATGGAATATCAGTAAATGCATATTTTAGATTTTTGAATATTTTATTTTATGTAATCATGTCAATGCACATGGAGCAAAATGAGAGAGAAGTCATGAGCCACCTACTGGACAGCAGTGAAAAGGCAGACACAGTAGATTCGGAGGCTCATGAGCCCCAGCGTATGTAGTGGCAACTAATGATGTCACATGCATAGAGTGCAATCTATCCTTTTGGTCAATCACCTGTTGCGTGGACATGCACCTCTTGAAATAATTTACTTGCAAATCTTGGGTTGTTTATTAGAATTTCATGTAATAAAGGTATAGTACTTAGTTAACTATGCATATATACTGCCTGATAGGAATACAATGCAAAATTGTATCCCTGTATTCAGATACTGCATGGAAACCACTTCAGGTATTTGGTGTATTTGACCACCGGACTGCAGCAACATGTCCGAATTACACAAGAGGCATCTCCTGGCCTAATGCTAGCCTTCTTCTGACAACCTGCATCCTCATTAGGGATGAAGCTAGGTTGCCATAAGGGACATAATTTCATGCATGTCTATGTGCAGTTTTTATGTGACGTCAATCTGGTCACCATGCCCAAAGCATACCATTAGTACAGTGGAAGGTACATTGGCGTGTGCCTCTGTGACCAATTCACCTCACCCTTTTAATGCTGTAGTAGGTTGGCCGCACGTGCAACAAATGCCATTTATTGGTTGTTAAAACTGTATCTCGCATTATTTTAATGAGAAATTAATGTTGCTTTTTGCAGAATGTGCACCTTTTGATTTGACACATATTTTTTCTTTTCCAGGCACTGTAAAGTACCCCTTCGAGAAGGATGGTATGCTTGAGCGCACTCATCAGACTGTGCTTCAATCAATGAAAGCTGCGGTCCGCCAAGGCAAGAGTGCAGTTGTTGATGGCATAAAAGGAGTGTCCCCGGTAGCGGAGCTGCGTGCCTTGGACATGGTGTGGGGTGTACCACCTGATTATATGCATTGCGTGTTAGAGGGCGTTGTGCCGCAGTTGATGGAGCTATGGTTGTCAGCAACAGGCACTGCTTGGTACATCGGCAACAGGGTCCGCGACCTGGACAGCTGCATGGCACTCATCAGCCCTCCTCTGTCATTCACAAGGCTCCCTAAGAGTGTCAGTGAGCGGTCCTTTTGGAAAGCAACCCAGTGGAAATATTGGTTGTTGTTTTACGCCCTTCCGTGCCTTAAGGGCATTCTTCCTTGGAGGTATGTGTCGCACCTGGGGTTGCTTTCCGAATCAGTGTTCTTGCTTCTTCAGACAACAGTGCAAGTTGCTCATGTCAGGAGGGCTCAAAGACTGCTCGAGCAGTTTGTGGCAGACTTGATTGCTCTTTATGGTGAAACTGCAGCAACCTTTAATGTCCACCAGTTGTTGCACCTGTCAAGAAGTGTAGAAATGTTAGGCCCGTTATGGGCAACTTCCAACTTTGTTTTTGAAGGTGGAAATGGCGCAGTGCTGAAGTTAATTTCTGCTGCAAAAGGGGTGCCTCTGCAGATAGCAGAGAGGTTGGTAATGGAGACAAGCCTTAATTCTGTTTCACGCCTTGTCAGAATGCCAGGTCACCTAAAGAAAAGATGTGATGAGCTTTCAGCAAGAAAGCTTGAGGTGGATTCTACATGTGTACTTGGTAGTCCAGTACCCATAGTGGCTCAGCTTCCATTTCACATTCAGGACATGTTTGTCCATTCACTGGGATCTTGTCCAACCTTGACAGAGTACTTAAGAGCTCGCGTAAACAATGTTGTCATACACAGCTCGCAGTATAAGCGACCCGAGAAGACCTGCTCAAAGTATGTAAAAATGCGTGATGGGACATACTGCGAAGTGAAGCACATTTTTTCTTTTGATGGGCCTTCTATTGCATTTGTTTGCCAAGAGCTCATAACATCAGTCAGCAGGTTTGGAACAGCTCATTTGCAGATTTGCCGCCATCCTCCCCCAAATGAACAACTCTGTTTGTTTTTTGAACACGATTTTTCTTCTCAGTGTGTATTTATTGAACAGTGCCTTGAGTCATACATTTCACACGTCCCCAATTGTTATGAGAAAGATTAAGTGCTAAAAATCCCAGGTCGCATATGTCACGATGTGTTTTACCGAATGCTTGTCTCTGGCCAGGTCGACCCCAGAAAGGATGCAGCGATGTCTGCCTACGGCCACCTAAATGGTCATCTGTCACTTGAGGTTGCAAATTCCTTAAGGCTTCAAAGATAGGCTAACCACCTATATTAAAGGGCATTGTGAGCATAAAAGTGATGCCTAGTGCCCCATTGGAAAGCTTGTACGAAACAAGGATTTCATGACAAAATTAACCTGTATGCAACTCTTTCATATCAATTGAAGTTTTTTCTGGTAAATTTGAGGGATCTCACAAGATCTGAATTTTGATCTGGAACTCATTGTCACAGGAGTTTTGTAGAAGGCTTAATGTAAAATAAAGAACAATAAAAGCAATGGTGTTATATAAATTTAATGTACTACAGGTGTGGGTAAGATATGCAGATATCGTCACATGATTCCCAGCTCCGTTATGATACATGTTTACAACTCTGTTTTTTATGCTCATTATAGCTATTGCTTCTTAGTATGGGGAAATATGACTGACAAAACTTCAACAAATAGAGTTTCTCCAAAAAAGTGATTCATATAATATGCCACACTCATGCCTATGAGAGCCATACGAAACCATTGTTTGAAAAGTACAATATTGTGCAAGTTACCAATTAACATACAAAACGTCCTTATGTCATCACCATTTATTCCTATCCATCACTCACTTTGAGTTCAGGAAACAATACTCATTGGGCAGATATATCGTCAGTACCACTCTCCAGGACCAGTTATAGCAATCAAATGTTGAGATGTACATTACCGCATCTTTTAAATTGTTGCAGTGAATTGAACACAAAAATTTTGAGTGGGACTCGAAAAGAGGTGTGTTTTGTTTTTGTTACGGGAGCTTTCATAAGTATTTTTCTGCGTAGTTAGAGCATGAAGTGAGTGTATATTATTTAGCTTATTTTTTTCTTTGCTATCTTTGATACCTATATTGTTTGTTGGTAATTATGTTAATAATGTTTAGATTTTCTCTCTCATGCTGTGTGGGGGCAGAGGCTTGTCAAGCAACACTGATTTGCTTTTTTTCTCTGCCTCCACTCTCCGAGTGAAGAAATAAAGAATTTGAATTTGAACCGAATGGCATTGGATTAATTGATGTAAATCCTGCATGTTGTAACATCTTTCCGGTGTGCCAGCTGGCCTGGCAAATTCACCCAGCGGACTATATAGGCAGTGGCGTGCCAACTTGTTTTTGAGTTGGGGGGGGGGGGCAACCAGAACCCCCCAGGGCCGGGGGGCGGTGCCCTTGGTATCCCTTGGGCACCGCTGGACGGTGTTTGCCCTGCCGATCGAGTGGCAGCTGTTTCAGAGGGGGCAAAACACATGCCTTGCCCCCCCCCCCGGTTTGTACGCCCATGTATATAGGTCATGGTGGGCTTTTCAGACGATCTGGTGGGCCAAACACACCAGGCTGGTGTGCACGCTGGGTTGCCCAGCGGGCACACCAAGGGACTCTGGTGTCACATCAAACTGCGTGGTGTGTACACCAGGCTGCCTGGTGGGCCCATGAGCCCGTGTGGTGTGACACCAGACTCTCCTGGTGTGCCCGCTAGGCTGGTGTGCGGGTACACCAGCATTTCTGGTGGGCACACTAGGCTAGTGTGCCCGACACACCAGCATTGCTGGTGGCCACAACAGGCTGGTGTGCTCATTGCTGGTGGGCACACCAGATATTCTGGTGTCCCACCAGGATTCTCTGATGTCACACCAGGATGGCCTGGTGTATTTTTCATTAGGGAGTTACGCTGATCTGTTCCGCGTACCCCCACTGCTCCAGAAATCTCCTCTTCTAAGACATCATATTCGACAGATGGCTCGATTTCCTTGTCCAGCTCTTTCAGAGAAGCCTCCTTAAGTAGAAGAATATCAAATGTTTCTTCGAGCTCACCGATGTCGGTTGGATCCGTGGCTGGCAGACGCCAATCTCGTTGATGATCTTTGATCTGGCGGCTCGCAGGGTAATCCTCGTTCGTTTCAGGCGGTCGATGCCCTCCTCGCTCGTAGCAGGCATTTCGACCCCAAAAACTGTAATAATTACTAGCTTCCTTTGTTGCTTTCCTACCAAAGCAAGCTCGTCGGAAGTAAGGAAAGTGCACCAACACATCTTCTCGGCTTCGACTCACAAAGAAGACTTCGTTACTTTCTCGCGCCCCAAGCTGCTCAAGGCCGCCCGGGAAAGTGCTCGGGACGAGGGGGACACTTCTTGAGCACAAAAGAGCCCGCCGCGGGGTCTCCGGCGACCACCAAGACGGGAGGAAACAAGGCATCCCGTCGGGGGACAGAGCGGCACACAAACTAATAGAAAACACGCGCGCGGACTGGGGGAAAAGTTAACAAAAACACAACTCTGGTGTCACATCAAACTGCGTGGTGTGCACACCAGGCTGCCTGGTCGGCGCATGAGTCCTTGTCGTGTGACACCAGACTCTCTTGGTGTACCCATCAGGCTGATGTGTGGGTACACCAGCATTTCTGGTGGGCACACCAGGCTGGTGTGCTCGATACATCAGCATCGCTGGTGGGCACCCCAGATATTCTGGTATCACACCAGGATTTTCTGATATCACACCAGGATTGTCTGGTGTATTTTTCATTAGGGGGAACGGGTAATAGTCAATTTTAATTGTTGCGCAAGTATTTCAATGGATTTTTCAAACAAACATGATTTCTCGTTGACACGATTCGTTACAACAGCAGACAACATAACTTGGGTCATGCCTTGTCACCGGTATTACAGAAATGTAGTATTGCTTTAATTTTCTAAGCTGGAGCATTTTTCCTAAAAAAGCAAGTGCCGGTAGTGATTTTCTCTAGATGTGTAAAGAGAATGTTTCGGTCCCAGTCTTTAGATCGGGGCCATAGAATTTGCTATAGGCGGGTAAAGAAAATTTATTTTTTCCCAGTCTTTAGACACAGGGCCCTATAATCTTCTATAGGCGGGTAAAGAAAGTTTATTGGTTCCCAGGAAGTCAGCGGCCGGAGCTACACCAGATAGTAACATCCAACCTTTTACAGAAACCACCGGCACTGGTATCGGAGGGAACGCTGCCCATGACCAGGCAGCAACAAGGGACCGACAAAATACATCATCGGCAGCAGAACCAAGACCGCCATCGAAAGACGACGCCGATACTGATCATCGCTGACGGAATCGCTGCCGAAGACGACGCAGCAGCAAGGATCAACGAAAGGCAACAGCGGTCACGAGACCGTGACGTCATCTAGAAGGGATAAAAGAAGCTTCCCACCAGGCAGCCATCGCAGTCAGCGGCAGGAGCTACACCAGATAGTAACATCCAAACTTTTTCAGGTGAGAACTCAAGTCACACATTATGCTGTTTAAAAAAAAGGAAAACCTGCTGCTGACTGCGAGGGGTGTGTGGGTATTGTGAATGGCTTCAGGGAGTGAAAATGATATTTGTTTGAACTGTAACCTAAAGTTGGAGGGAGATGGCAAGGACATACAATGTATTGAATGTCGATTCACCTATCACTTAAGAAATGGCTCTGGCGTGCCTAAGAGTAAAGTGAAAGAAAAAAAAATCAACTAGCCTTAAAAAGAACTGGGTATGTCAGACATGTCGCATTTCGAAAAAGCGATCGAAACCAAGCGATTTAGAAACAAATGCATCGCATTGCGAAGTTGATATTCACAAGAAATTAGCAGAGATTGCGCAAATGTTAGTGGTTCTCGGTCCACTAGAAAAGAAGGTCGACGAGTTGGCCAGTGTAAAAGAAACTGTACAAGAAATTGAAAGAAAGGTACAAAGAATGTCAGAGAGATACGACGAGGTTATGAAAAAACTAACCATGCAAGAAGCAGAAGTGACCGAGATCAAAACAAGAGTGAAAAAAATAAAGAAACTAGTCCTACTAACGAAGAAATCAACAAATTAAAGCAAGACCTTAACAACCTTGAGCAATACGGCAGGTTAAACAACATCGAAGTCCACGGAATTCTTGTCAGTGAACACGAGGACCTAATGGAAAAACTGAGTTGTGTCGCGGACAAACTACAAGTAACGAGACTAAAGAAAGAGGACGTTGAAGCAGTGCACCGCGTTCCATCAAGAGAGGGAAAAACACCCCCGATAATGATTAGATTCTTAAACCGGACCAGACGAGACGAATGGATAAAAAACAAGAACAAACTGCGATCCGAAGATTCTAACGACCACATCTACTTACAAGAAAACCTAACCGAAATAAACAAAACGCTTTTTTTCGAAGATAGAGGAAAAGCTAAATCGCTGGGATAT